TTATATTATTTATTTAATACTAATACTGAAATATGTAAAAAGTTTCTATGGTCAAATTACTGATGGTTGTGGGCATCTCAAGATTCCAAAATCTTTTTTTTTTATTTTTATGATCATACTGTCTGATTTTCCTTAAAAACTGTAATAAAATGGTTAATAATAATAAAACTTATTGTGCTGTAATATTTTTTATCTTTAAACATTCCTCAAAAAAGGTATTTTATTTAATATGCCTACACCTCTGGTTAACAAAAAGGAAAAACACTGCGTTTAGAAGGAATTGCCCGCATATGTGATTTTTAGGCCTCTACCAGGCTTCCGATTTGATATCACTTATAATTGTCCGAAGCGTAGTGGAGGACACTCTTTTTTTACGAGAGCAAGTAATCACTATGATCACGTGACGATTTCTTTCCATGATTTTGATTGGCTGAATATATGATCACTCAAATAATAAGTTCCGGACACATAATGCTACGCATTACCTAGTTTAACGTATTATTTTAGGGAAATTATATTACTAATATTATCAACCTCGGTCACTTGATCGATTTTATATCTTGTCGGGTAACTTTAGCCGGTTCAAAATAGAATTATTATTTAAGTTCCATTTTCAAAGTATTTTCTAATCTAATCAATCACATGTGCAAACAGTTTCCCCTACAACCTGATAATGTTGTGAATACGATTTAAGGATTGGCCAATAATTTGTATATTAAACTAAATTTTTTTGCAAAACTTGCAAATTTTGGTATAATTATTAAAGTCAAAATCAAATATTTGATCAAGTCAATTTTTGATTTGATCAAGTATTCTAGAGACTGAACTCGAGTCAACTCGTAGCTTAAAAAATAGTCTTGACTCGAGTTAATTCGAGTTAAGGCTATGTTTTTTAAGCTACGAGTCGACTCGAGTCCAGTCTCTAAAGTATTCTTACTCAATGAACAATTTTATTGAGCAAGAATATTTGATCAAGATCAGATTTGCTTTGATCAAATATTTGATCGAATATTTGATTTCAAACTTTTATTTGATTTGCGGAGCATTACAATTAGCATAGCGGGCTTTCATTGTGATTGGCTAATTTTTGTAGATCATTTTATGCCGTGACATTGGAATTCAGGCCTACCGAATAATTGATTGTGGGGGCAATTAATTGCAATTTTTCAAACTCAATTAATTAATTGGCGGCGCAGCCGCAATTAGTCAATTAATTGCAATTTTTTTATAAAATCATGTAATCAGTTGTATATCGCATATTATATTATCGCGGTTTGCAAATTGATGTGACTTTTGATCAAATTTGTAGATCACTGCATGCCTGATTGTTCGATTGCAATCGATTGCAATCGATTGTACGTGATTGTATGCAATTGTACGTGATTGTTTGATTTATTTGTAAATGTATAGAAAAATTATATAAAAATATAGGTTTTTCTTTTTTTAATAAAATAATTATGGATTATCTTATAGGTACTTGCTATCAGTGTGCAAAGTGTCTTTATTGCAAACAAAATTCTTCTAAATCTTCATGTGAATGTGATAAAAATATAGTACCTACAACATGAAATCATACAAAATTAGTTCCATATGTTTTTACAATTCATTATAATTCAAAATTTAATGATAAACAAATCAAAGTTCTAAATGATTCAAAGAAAAATTATAATTATAATACAATATTTACAGAAGATTTCAAATTTTTATTTTGCTTTACATATAATAGTAAATGGTATCATCTTGGTAAAGCTAACTCAACAAAATCAAAGGTGATTAAATCTAAGTTGACATTGATTAAGTTTATAAGTCCTATTACTAGTGTCATTAAATATACAACTTTTAATACAAACAATGATATTACTAACATATCTGATACTGACCAACTTATTGATGATCATACAACTTTTAATGATGATTATACAATTTTCAATGATGATTATACAACTTTCAATGATGATCATACAATTTTCAATAATGATTATACAATTTTTAATATTAATACAAATAATATTAATAACATATTTTAGACTGACAAATATGATGACTATACTATTTTTGATACTGATATACCAGTTTGTGATGATTTAGATTTTTTAAATGAAGTTGAAGAATCAGATTTAGAAAATAATATTTGTGATTTTAATAGATGACTTGATAAATTAGATAATAAAAGTAATAAGTATGAAAGCAAAGAGTTTTTGCTTAAATTATATATTAAAAATCAAGATAATACTACATTACCAATCAAATAATTAAATATTTTAGCAGATTTCTGTGATGAATTTCATTATCAAATTCTTTTATATATTCAATTTCAACTAAATGATACTACTATTACTCAAAATGATTATGTATTAGCATATAAAGTAACAAAAGAAACTGAAACAGAAACTCAAATTATTAATGAGAATGATTTTTAGAAGTTTTATTGATGATTATAATCAAGTTACAAAAAAAAAAATATATTTATTAATATTCAAATATGAAATAATTCTTTAAAAAGTAATACAAAAAAACAATTATACAGATTAATATATAATTTATTTTATTAATATATTTGATTATTCTTTTTTACAAAAAAAATATTAATTGTTTTATCATTTTAGAGATTTAAAGAACCTAATAGTGATGATAATTTAAATAAAAAAACCATGATTATTTAGTAAAAAATCTAAAAAATCTCATCTTAATGATGATAAATATATTATAGCATTTACTATTTCTTAATTTCGAGAAAAGTATTTTTGTGCTAACTGTAAAGGTTTATGTTGGATTACTAAAACTGGTTATATTAAATTAACAGGAATGCATTATACTACATGGGCTCAAGTAATCGTAAGTATTATTTTTTTATATATATTTATTTATTAAATACTATATGCTTATTTTAAATTTAATTAAACAGATAAATGAATTAGCAGATATTAACACACCACCTAGTCATGTAATATTTATATTACCATCTAAAGTTAGAGGAATATCTAATTCTAGTCAACTTTCATTACAATCATTATTACAACCAGATTTACAACTGTTATTACAATTAAATTTACAAATACTTTTACAAATATCTTTACAAATACCTACATAAACTTCTTCACAACTATTCTCACAAATTTCCTTACAATTATTCTTACAAATTCTTTCACAAATACTTTTGCAAATGTCTTCTCAAATTCTCTTACAAATATCTTTACAAATGCTTTCTCAAATACACTTACAAATGTCTTTACAATTATTTTTATAAATGTTAACTAATTTTTCAAATTATTCATTACAATTATCAACTAATTTTTTTTATCTTTTTCTAATATTCTCTTATAATTATTACCAAATATTTCTTTATATATACTATTGAATATCTCTTTACATCCTTATTTTATATCATTTTCAATTTCATCTAACTTATCACAAGGATCAACAATTTTTTTAAAATATGTTCCTAAACTTAAAGAATTTTTAACCAAAATAGATAAAACTGAAAATGCAAATAGAAAGATTTTAGCATGTTTAGCAATGTTTTAAAATCAAGCTAATCAAGTTAAATGGATATGTAAATTAATTGATAAACAGCTTGAATTGGTTAGAATTATAAAAACTAGATGGAAAATTGCATTACGAGAGGCTTTTAAAGAATATAGCTAATAAATATTGACTATAATAAGGTATTCAAAATATATATTATAGAAATTAAAAAAAAATTATTAAATAATAATATAATAATAATAAGATTCTAGAACAAAGAAGTTACTTTATAGAAGGTTAATAAAAAAAATAGGTCTATTATATTATTATAATAAAATTTTTTAAAAATAAATTTTTTACTTAATGAATAGCTACAGTTCACTAGTTGAACTTGATTATATGAAGGTAGTTTGGCATTTAGAAAATTTTCATAATTTATTTAAATTTTTTTTATGTAATCTTTAATAATTAACTAACTCATTCTTCAAGCAACCATAGCTGTTAATGCATTAGTGTTTTTACTTGAAATATCGATGCATCAACAATACAAAGATTTTTCATACTATAAACTTGAAGTTAATAATTAACTACATTATCTTTAAATTTTGATATTATTTTTACTGTTCTATATAGATAAAACACTGTAGTTGTCTAAGCATATAAATAAGACCATAATGGTATTAAATAATTTACATAAATGAATCTATATTATAATATAAAAATATAAACTTTTTTCATACAAACTTTTCTCAATCTTAATCACTAATTTTATTCTGTCAGTGCTTTATTGTCCAAATTCATCATTTATCTTAACTTCTTTAATATTATAAACAGTGCTTCATAGTAGTTGTTTAAGTATTTCACAGCATAATCTGATCATTCTATATAAATTATCAGACTTATTGAAATAGTTTAAATGTATTCTTGGTTAATCAAATAGATTATTACTATTAAGTTCTAAATAACTAACACTTAATAGAATATTAAGAACTGCCAATATAATAATCTTACTTATTTTATGCTTTGATTATTCTTTTATAAAACTGGATCAGAATGGTGTCACTGTTTATATGATGCTATAGTAAATAAATTTAGTACATAAATTTATTTTTTAATTATAACATACCAATAATATGAATACATGGATTCTTATCAAAAAGTCTTTTTTGCAAAGAATCTTTCTTTAATATTAGCTTACCAGAAACAGAGTTTGTACAATATACAATATAGAGTATGGTTTATAAATATCTAAAATGGTGTGTCTCTTTTTTATCCAATTGGTTATTATAATTTTGTGACTTTGTCTTGTGATTTCTAGATTTTTATCTATAAGCTTTTGTCTATTGGCATATAATAAAAAAAAAAAGTGAATTAGATGTTTGTGATTAGATAATTATTCTTTCTGGATTATTAAATAATATTAATTTCTCTATTTATTATCTTGACTTTTAATCTCATCATGTATTTATTAAATTATTCTTAATTTTATCTGTTTTTGTTTGCTGTTTTGACTATATCATTATATTATATAGAAGCAAAGTGGTTAGTACTAAGATGTCTGCATATTTTCATATATTTTTAAAAAAGTTAAATCTGATATTTAATAACTTATATAAATGTTGATTCAAAAAAAAGAGGCTTAGTCTTAATCCTATTAGATAAATTATAATAATTTTTAAATTAATTAGAATTGTATTATAGTTAAAACTTTCTAAGTAACTTTTATAAAGACTCAACATTTATAAGAGACCTTAAGGAATAATAAAAAAATGCACTTATGCAAATAAGGTATATATTTGAGCTAGGATTTAAGAATGCATCTTATTGCAATAAATATTTAGTTATAATTAAATTTTAATCTAATCTATATACTGTTAGAATATGCTACAGATTTTATCTAAAAAATAATAAATTTTATCTAACTATATTTATTCATTTTAGCTATTCTAAGTTCAATACTTCAAAGATATATATTTTTTACATATACACTTAAGAGTTGAACATTTAGCACTTTACTAAACTACTTACTATTATTGAATACTTGATTTTTTTGCTTTTTACATTTATGTTTAATCACAAATCACTATACAGCATAGACTTGAGACTTAGAATATAAAGTGCTTCAGATACTATAAATAGATTAATTGCACTTATAAATGTAAAATACCCAGGTACTTAACAAATTAATTATGAAATTTTCTAACTAAAATATGATAAGATTAATATAGTATAAATAATTTATAAATACACCTATTGACAAATGTTTATTATATTTATCAGTTATATAAAATAAATTAACAACAAAAGTAAATAATTTATTTTAAAAAACTATATACATGCAAGAATGCTACATCTATACTATACTAATACTAATCTATCTGAATTGCATATAATGATAAAGTTCATCTAAATAACATAGTTAGTATTCAACCTACTGCACATATAATCTAATTTAAAGTTGCAAATAAAACTTATAAAAGTTAAGCAAACAAAAAAATTATAACAAAAGCAGTTTCATCTGCAACTCAATCTGAAAATCCACCTTCTATTCCTAGTTTTGCATAACAATGTCATGCAGCTACTTATTTATTAAAATATTAACATAATTAATTTAGTAAGTAATTTTTTTTTTTAATTTTTTTAAAGTAAAAAATGGTCATTAAAAGCACAAAACCCAATAAACACACTATTCTAAAAGTATATGTGACTAAATTTCTATTAACAATAAATGAGAAAAAAGAAATAAAATTATAAAAACTAATCAAAAAAATGCAATTAAACTAGGAAATCATGTAGATTTTATTTTTAATGCTTTTCTGTAAGATTATAACTCTAATTATTTATTTGAATCCAGGATGCAGCAACAAAAAATTATTGAAAAAACAAGTAATAACAAATGGCTTGATAATATTAATAAAACTTTGTATCATTGTATAAATTAGTGGATTATAATCATTTTAAAAGGCAATAAAATGTTTTAAAAAATATAATTATAATACTTTTTGGCTATAATAAATATGCACGTATGGATTCTGTGCCAGGTTTTGTCGATCATTCACCATGTAATGATATTTGAGTATACAAAATATGCATACAATATTTGTAAAACAGTTCTATGTATAATATCAGTAGTAAGTAGAAACTCGTCTAACTCGCAATACTGCAATATGAATTTACTTACAAGTACATGCATGCAAGTATATTTTTTGGAACCATTCGTATTGTTTTGTTATTTCATTGAAAAAATTATTCTAGCATTATTTATTATAAGTAAAAGCAAAAAAAATAGACTAATTTATAATCAGCAGGCTTAATATTACTTATTTTTTAAAGTTTGAAGGTTAAAAGAAATATCGATTAAGTTCAAATGCTAAATAGCAATTATAAAATTAATTAAAATTATGAAATAGTATGATATTAGTGGCCAACTTCAAATAGTAACTAATATTACAATTCAATCTAGTATGCATATAATACTATTTAGAAATTGTGAACACGAATATAAAAATAAAATACATTTCCAGATTACTCATAATTAAAACAGAATTTTAAAGTATATAAAGTTATTAAATATCAATATATTTAAGTTAATAATATGATTCTACTACATACCAATTGTTAATGATTCTCACCTATATTATTAAAATTTTTAATTTTTCTATTTGCTTTTCATAATTTAATTATCAATTTCAAATACTGTGATCAAGGTTGTTAGAATTATCTATCGCTAAAAACTAATAAAACATGAACTATACAAAGATAATTTATTTTAATATTGCATAGATATTAGAACATACACTAAAACTTCAATCTTTTCACATAGAATACTATGCCAAGAAGTGAAATGTATTCATTGAAGCCAACTTTATTCTAAATAATAGCATTTGAATCAATAGTTTTATATTTTAATATTATTATTTGCTATTAAGTATATAATTCTAAACTTAATTTTGTTCTTTGGCGTATATACGTACTGTATATATTATTTCTGCACAAAGAAATTGAAGTTTTAGACTTTTTTACCTCCAATTATAATAATGCACAAGATCCATATAAATACATATTGATATTATTATAAGTATAAAAAAAATGTTGGTTTTTAGTTACCCAGGTTATTAAATTCTTTTAGTAAATTATTGTATGCAGACTGTTTGATGATTGGTATCGATATGTTTTTATATTTTTTTGTATCAAAGATCGTACTCCAAACAAATAGTGCGGTAACTCTAAAAGTAGTGTTATATTATTACCAAAAGCATATAAATGTTTTCAAAGTCATATGAATATATTCCGAATTATTATTTAGAACAAAATTTGTTGATTTAGTTATCATTATACTATACGTCCTGAACTTTTGTTGTATATATAAAGTACAGCAGTGATATTGCTTTATAATAAAATTTTAAAAACTTTCGTTATATCAATAATATATTTAGATAAAAGTAATCTGCTTGGTATGAATATATATACAAGTAACTCACTGGATAGATATATGTACAAGTAACTCACTAGATAGATATATGTACAAGTAACCTACTGTGAAGTTTATTTTTTTTTTTCTTTATATATTTTTAAATAGATTACGACATTCTTCTTAAATTAAGTATGACAAATTTTTAAACTCAG